TATAGTCGACGAAAAGCAGAAATGGCAATAAGACTTACTAACAGGACTCAGTTTAGACTTAGTTAATGTCAAAACTGAGAATATTTTGGATGTAAAGACAGCATAAGAAGAACTATAGCAAGGTATGAGCTCAAGCTCTTCTGTCTGATCAATGGACATAGAGGAGATGGGAAAACAAGATGATTGGTCTGTGGCTGACTGCTGCACCGTACACGGTATGCTTGCCAGCTTACCACAGCTTTCCACCAACAGGAAAAACAAATACTAAAGATACCATACGTAAACAGTATTATTAAGTCATATCAAAGCTTTTATAAAATAAAAAACTATTTAACATAGTTTCTTCCATGTCAGCCTAATATGTATAAACCTGCAGGATGACTGGAGGATGGAGATGAAAAAGAGACATAGTTCATCAAAAAGATGAAGCAAGGAGTGGAGACTAACTTCCCCATTCTGAAATTTCAGTGAAATTTTGCAGTGTGACTGAATAAGCAGTCATAAAGCACATGGCCACGAAGTTGGGGATAGGGACATTGTTTATAGAAAGAGGACAACCAGGAGCTTTCACATTAATTTTCCTAACACGCAGATAACACTGTTAGATAGAACGGAAGTGTCTTGCAATCACATTTGTGTATAATAACTTCCATCAGTATGGTCGAGATGGAAAGTCTTCAGAAACTACTATAAATGATCAGAGATAATTTTTAAGAAACACCCTATGCACCCCCAAAACACCGTCAGGGGATGTTCTTGAAATAGGAGTGCTATAACTGATATACTATGAGCTATACTTAGATGATTTCTCAACCAATAGTCCTAAGATCATGAAGAGAAAGCTATGAAAAATGCGTTTTTCCTCTAAGGGAAAGTGTCATGTAAAGCAACTATATACCAGGTTGAAGGCAGGGACTGGGAAGAACAAGAATAAGCTATACAGAGCAAATCTATCCACAAGTCGTCGTGATCATGGGGTCATGATTAACACTAGCATCCTGTGGATACTTAGAAGATCTGCATATGAAAAAAAGGCATCATATATAAAAGCAATATACCATTAAACACATGTTCCTGAGAAAACATACTCTCTAAAATACACGTTAGCGCCACTTTGACTTCTCATATACAAATAAAGACCTGGTGAGTAGCTATGTCATATGTAGAAAGTACAGGGCGAAACAATGAAAATGCACATTTCTGATAGAGCACAAGGTAAATTGGGAATGCACATAAATTATCTCATTACTGTAGACCATTATTCAGATTTTTGGGAGGGAGAGAAACTGTCAGATACTGCTGCAGCGATTAGTGTAAGCAAAGCAATATAGCATTTCAGTGGGTACTATACTATAATAGTTGTTTCGGAGCAAGTCAGTACAATTTGGCTAGGAACAGGATTTTAGTTACATCTTCATTTTATTATAGCCAGTCAAATAGTAAAAATGAACTAATGGATAATCTTCCCAATACGGTCTTAAAGAGCACAGCAAAAAGAAAAGAAATATATGCAAATGCAATAGAGAACAGGAAAAATCTCCCACAGAAACCTTGTGCTGACAGTCTTAATATCGCTACAATTGTCAGTGGCATAAAGGACAAGATAGGAAAGAAAGGGGCAAATATACAATATCTGAAACCTAATATAACGAAGAGACTAACAGCTTAGCAGAAAAATTTAAGTCAAAGACTATGTCTGAATCATTTTCAAATTGTGTACTCGAAAGTAAGTACCTGCTGAATGGATACCTCCTTGTTCAGGGAAGGCAGCTGTGAATTCACTTTAATGAAGCTCCTGCATACAGTCCTGCAAATGCAAAATAGTAACATTGACTATATGGAGAAGAGTGAAATAGGCAGTCTACTGAGACCTGATCAACAGGATGTAGAAAGAAGACAGGCTTGTGCTGGGTCCTCCACCAAACTGTCTGTGAAGTCTATCCAAGGCCTTTAGGGCTAGTATGCTGTTAAAGACCCTTTTCCAACTCCTGCTTGGGTAAAGGCCATTTTAACAAGCAATTTAAGGGCTACTTAAACAAAAAGAAAGGAATAACTTAAAAAAGCAGAAGCATTAAGTGTGTGTGTGTGTGTGTGTGTGTGTGCGCGCGCGCGCGCGTGTGCGTGTGTCTGTCTGTCTGTCTGTCTTCAGGTAGACTTTGGAGAGTATTATGTCAAATTATGTAATCAGGTTATCAAATTCAAGCTTAACTTTCCTAATTGGAAAACATACATCCACCATGCATACCCATACATATACAAAACTTATTTTTGTTCACATATGAAACCTTTATTTTTTTGTACTCTTTCGAGCGTAATTAAGAGAGCTCTGCTTTGCAGATGGGCTTGATGAGAGAGCGTAGGGAAGGATGAGGTCTTTCCCTCACTTTGATATAAGCGCTGAACTGCTTGGTTTTGAAGTGGTAACTGTATTAAAAGGAATAGCAAAAATGAGTGAGGGAGCTGGGGGAAGATCTTTCCATCCTTTCCATGGTAGTAGAGGCAGAGGATACAGTTCTGCTCGACTTCTTTCCAGCGGAATCCAAAAGATTTTGTCCAACACAGCATGTCTTTTACACTTCTTTTACATGTACCTGCCACTCTGGTCTGTGTTCTGGATTTTGGCATGGAGTTCAGCTTTGCATGATTATTTAGGGGTTGAGGATGCAGATCTGGGCTCTTGAATCTGCTCCAATAAAAGACTACAAGAGTTAGTCCCTAAATTGCAAATCCAGCTCGCCGGAGTTAGGTTCTTGACTCATTAAGGTGCATTTGAATATCTTGTGAGACTATGAATAGTCATTCTATTTGATATAAAAATGCTTATTTGGATGAGAGGAAACTCTGCAGAACTGAAGATGAATGGCTGAGCACCAAAATGAATGGCCTGATGACAGTTCTGAGGATGTGCCAAAAGATACACCCTGTCCCGGGTATACTGTTTCATATAACTTACCCTCTCTCTGCCTGTTCTGCTACAGTAATCAAATCCTTTCAGTGTTTATATATGCGTATCAGATAAGCATATTTTGCTTATACTTGCTCATTTTATATCTAAGAGTCCATCTCTATTCAAATAAAAGACATATATCTGTTTCAGTTGTTTGACTTGTTTTACATGTGAGCCAAGCATCAGTGATAAGAACAGCAAACATAATCCACCAGAGCAAAAAAAGACTGGTAGCTGACCATGTTTCCAAAACCCCAGACACTTATTTAGAAAGTTACTGATAATTAAAATTATTAAAAAATGAGCTACTGTCCAATGAAAACAAAACTGACTGAGCCCCATATCTGTAAGCACAGCACTGAAAATAGGAGATGGCAACACCTATTTTGGGGTGATCTCACTTCCACCTGCAGGTAGACTGAAAGAGAAGTAGCACTCTTTTTGCTGGATTCATCCACTGCAGCAGAGTATCTACAAAAACCAAACCAAACCAAACCCAACCCAACCCAAAACACCAAAATCACCTCCAGAACAGACCTGCAATTACTTGCAGTAGGTGTGATCCTGGCACATGCAGATCTCAAAGTTTGGTAAACTGTCTTGCCTTCATTTTTGAGATTACTGTTTTTATTGATTCACCCAAACAAAACTTTTGGCCTTTAACGTAAAGAAGAAACAGCAGTAATTAAAGCTTGAGGGCCACAGAATTAGGGGGTTACTAATAGCCTTTATTTTCTGAGAGATCGCTTTGAAAAGGACTAACTTTCCAAAAGTGCTCTGGCAGTTGTTTTCCTTATGATTTGTTAAATTTGTTACTCAGAAGGCTCATATAATTTTTAGTACTTCTTGATGCACATATTTTAAAATTTTTTAGCAGGAATATTCATCCCACTGGAACATGAATAGCTTTCCCTTCAACTACTAAATTCTTTCCACTAACCTCCGATCTCCTTCAAGCACAGACCACCTGGACATAGACATGAATACCTCTGATAAAGGAAGTATTATTGTAAAATTTGTGGTTCAGAAAGTCTATAACAGCTATTGCTCTACCATGGCATCTCTTCATCCCTACTAACTATATAGTGTCCTAATAAGATAGCTCACAGAACAAACTACAGGCTGGCCGTTTGCAGGATAGAAGTTTGTTAAAGGAGTTCTCTGAACATGTTTCTCCAGTAGGAGTTTGAGAACAAAGTTCTCCACTTTGTATCTGCTCTTCCACCTTGCACAGCATGGCATGATGAAAATGGTTTAAAATGCTAGATATTTTTTTCCCAAGTCAATTACTTTACTTCGCTCTCCCACATCTGAAAGCATACTAGTTCCTGTCTGCAACTTTGCACATAATTGTGCATGCAGATGCATTCATCTTGAAATGCAATTGGCGTGTTCCTTTCTGTAGTACCAGGACAACTTTGTTGAAGGGTTACTCAAAGCATGGAAGCGTTGAGTAAGAGGAAGCTCAGTATAATATTTAATATTGTTAAACAAACATCAGTGTTGCTGGAGTTCAAATCTCTCTCTCAGCAGTGATATGAAATGTTGGCATGAAGTGCAGGACAGACAACAGACGATATCTAGAAATAAACATGGACCCTGTATTACAAACTTACATATTAACTCCAGGGGACCAGGGGTATTCTTGCTAACACTGCACAATACTGCAGGGGAAAATTCCAGATAGCTTTCAAGATACAGTGGTAAAAATTGAGACATTTTCTTGTGCTAAATTTCAAGATAGCAAAAAAGATTTTAATCTCCCAGTCTCTAGGTGTCATTTTCTGAAGAGCGCTTTGTGAAAAGAGCCAGATACACATTTCAAGAGCTGTTTTAAGGCATGATTTGTCACTAATACATTTTTCACCACTTTGACTTGAGCAATGTTAAAGTTTGGTTGCATTTTATGGTCAGTTTACTGTTGTCAGGAATACACCCAAACGCATGCTTATGTCTCACTGAATGCTCTATTAGGATTTGAAAGGAGACGGGTACAAGATACAGGAAAATGAGGCTTATATTTGTAGAGTAGTAACATTTTCCATTTTTACAGTGGCTTTCATTGGATCAGATGGTACCCGCTGGATCACTGAGTCAGCTCCTTCCATCACTTTTACTTGGGATCTTGGAAAAAGTAAGGTTTATTTATCCATCATTCAGCCTCTCACTGTTTATATTAATAATCATATATATCAGAGCGAAATGGATGTGTAAGTTTCCAAACTCAGAATACTAATATATCCAAATGTCAGTCATTTAAGGGGCAATGCAAAAAATGCAAGGTAATTTTTAGCCATTCTGAAGGTAACAGGTTGATAAAGAAGGCCCATTTTTATTCATTGCTTGTTCTTTGAGAAAGGAATATTGTCAGTAGAACTGATAACAGACTGAAGGGTTTAAACAGCTCTTCCCTGGGGTTCTGTTAGGGTAAAGCAGCACGTGTCTGAAAGGTCCAGATTCTTTATCAAAATTCCTGTTATTCCCCAGATGGCTGAAATTTTGCTACAGCCACCTGAAAATAATCCCTCTTTCTATCATGAAAAAAGCAGGAGGCTCTTCTGGAAATTTGCTTTTCCCCCATTATTCTTTATATAAGAGTTATCCAAACCACCTTTAATTCCTAAAATAGAGCCTTGTTCGTCTAAATTGCTAACATGAAAACTATTTTTTACCTACCAAGATATCAGGAGTAATCTTGGCAAAATGCAAAACTTTGCAAAAGCAACAGTTAGTACAGATTTCATTGTATCAGCATGTTCTGTAAATTCATTTTAGTTTTACACAACTACTCATAAAGAACAGATTGGTATTTCGGAAAGACAAGATGCATAGTTTTGACATTTTTCTAAATGAAGTTTTTTTGAAAATATTTTAGGCTTAGACATTTCATTTGATTTAAGACTTTTTTTTAAAACTCACGTGAAATAGGTTTTTTTTGATTTTGTCAAACTCCCAGCAAACTGAAAATTGAATTAGTCACACAGTTCCCAGTAAGAATAATTTAAAATAGTGGTAAAACTGCTCCCTTCATAAAAATTAGAGGAACAGAAGGGTGAACTTAATAGGCTACACTAAGACTAAGGAAGTACTGGACAATCTGTCTTCTAATTGTACTGAGACAGTTGCTACCACCGGCAATGAGGTGCCAGGGGAAGAGCACATCTAGGAACACAATGAGAATAGGTGTGTGGATTGAAATCCAACCAGCAGAGGGACGAAGTCAGCAAAAGTAGCAACGCCCTGTCAGAAAGAGCTTTTGCTGTAGGTTTTCAGCTAGAGCAGAGGGCAGCAGCAGGAGAATTGTCCATTACAAGCAATGTGGAAATCCATCTGCTTTGCAGTTTCTTGGAGAGGAAACGTTAGCCAGTCCAGTTTTGTAATTTTGTTTCCTTTTCTTTTCTCCCTGTAATCCTTCCTTTTTAGAGAACCTTAAAGATTAAACTTTGGAATTACCAGAACACATCCTTACTCCTTTTGTGTTACTCTTGCAGTAGTAAGATTTTAGGCTTCATTGACTATTCTCCATCTTAACTCCACCTAACCAAGTGTTATCTGCATTAGATGTATACATTTGTCTATGTGGTCTGTCTGAATGGTCTCTCTCTGTCATTAGCTGTTGTCATTCACCCGATTCTTGAGCCCTTTCCTAGGAATGGGAGGAAAGAAAAGGATTGCTTTTGGAAGTCTCCCATATGCCTAAAGCTTAACTTATTAACAACGGGATTTGCGAAGGAGCTACTATTTCAACTATCATTCTGATTTACCCTCAGTTTAGCTCACCCAGGGTCTCTTCCAAGCTCTCACCTCCAAATTCTTTGCAGAATGCTGCAGTCTTGTCTGGCTGGAATTGAAAGAGTGGCCTTTGAGGCTAATCTCTTATTTTCTATATATCAGACAGTGAATAAGAGGCTGGGGGCTGTAAGATACATGGGCACGCTAGGTGCTCTGATATATTCAGGCAAATAGATCTTTTGCTGGTGCAAACTGGAAGGGGGGAAGGAACTTTGATAAAAAGTGTTTTGAAAGGACACTTAGGAAAACAGGAGAACTTGTAGATGGTGCCTGTTGACAGAACAGGAGTGAGAAATGAGAGGAGATGATGGAGGGACTGGAAGAAAATCTGTAGAGGAGGGAGGTCAATAGGTAATGGTTACCAGAAACTTTCATTTCAGCCCTGTGCTTCAGTTGCAAATGCTAACTATTTTAACTTCACAGAAAGTAATAGTACCCAATCAGAGCATTTCAAGGAAATATATAAATGGGGTAATTACTATATTGGATCATATCCATGCTGCATCTGATAATGACAAAGATCAGGTGCTTCAAGATATCTGGAATAGTGAGAAATCATCTGGGTTCAGTGAAATTTCTATCTAAATATGACTAAATTGAATAAAATACAGTGGAGACAGGGATGGGGCTTTGAATCCAGGAGAGAATTAGAAAAACACAGGTCACATCACAATGAGGATACCTCATTTCGAGGAGGAGATAGTGAATCAGCTGGAGATGAAAATGTTGTCTTATGTTAATGGGCCTCACGTAGTGAGAACTTGAGATCAGGAGGGATGAGGAAAGCATCCCAGGTAGGTGAAAGCAGGATGGAAAATTATGGAAAAGGACTTGAAGGGGAGTTCAAGATGTTATTCAGTCCATTGTGCTCCCTCGAGATACCCTTATCAGCTCATCATACACCAATGGAGTGGTAGAGAGCTTTCAAGCTGGCGATGCCATCACAATGGCTTTAACAGCCTCTATCAGACTGGTGACTATTTCCTCCAGAGATTTGTACAGTTCTTGCAAACTAAAACTTACATAATTGACTGCAATAGGTAAGAGTACTTCTCTACATTCTCTATCAAAAAGGCTGAAGGGACTGACTGACATCAGCTATGTAAACGTGTTTGTTGCCACTCGAACAACAGTGTGAACAATGCATAAGAGTTCAGCTCTCTTGTATGTTCTCCATCATCTTACTGTTAATAAAAGGTGAAATCAGCTGGTGTAAATCCTAGTATTTCCCATTGTGGAACTACATCACTTCACGCTCAGTAAGGGTCCAAGAATTCAGAAGCCAACTGACATTTGAGAAGCCATTTACCTATATCTTTGTGCTCATCACGGTATTTTACCGATATGCAGTTTCTTTTATACCAAGTACTACTCATTTTTTGAAAACTCTAAATAGTCTGGAAAAATAATTTCATTTTTATTCCATGTTCCAGGACTATGTGTAAAGTTTTCACAATTTTTCCTACCTATGATCTCCTAAATTACGGATTAATCAATAGAAACCTTTCAAAGAGGAGAGCAGTGCATAATGGATTACTCTTAGAAGGATGTTAATACAAATGAGAATTCATTGCAAAAATTGTGAAATGACAGGCCTTGCAAATGTTTACACATATAAATGTGGCAGTTAGCTGGGCCATAATGAATAGCAGTACCCACAGAAAAATAGAACCTGGCCTTGCAAATCAGGTGCTCAAATCAGCCCTTCTGCTGTCTGGACAGCCTTCTTCTTGGATATTACCAAAAGTGTATGGCTGGAAATTTGGGGTGAGGTGCAGTCTTAGGCAGTGTAAGAGTGTCAGTTCCAAATTACTGACACAGATTCAGTGTCTGAATTCAATTATTCCACTCTGGAGCTACATATATTGTGAGATTCAGATTCTTTGGTACCTGTTCCACACTTGAAACTTCTGTTCCTTTAAGAATTCAGAAGCTAATTGGAATTTTAGAAGCCATTTACCTATATCTTTGTGCTCATCCCTGTATTTCACCAATATGTACTTATTTTTATACTAAATGAAGGACTAGGTTCAATTGTGTGCCTTGTGCTATTCCAAAATGAAAAGCAGCTTCTTAAATATTCATTTTATTTCTGTCATTGGAGGACTTCAAAGCATCTAGAATATCCTAAGAAATTTGCAATCTCATCTTTTGTAAAGTGGTTTAAAATTGAAAATCGCTAATAAGGAGTGAATATGTGAACTGAATCCTACCTGGGTGCACTGTTACTGTACAACCCTAACCCACTGTACTTTTGAACAAATACTAGCAAAAAAGAAGCACAGCTATAGGATTAGACTTGATGACATCTTTGTCTGATGCCTTGAACTCCTTGTTTGTAATTTGATAACAAAATTTACGCAAAACTTTATCTATTTGGGTGCTGGAAGGTTCAACCTCTTCAGGACAAAAAGGTCCAGAGTAAAACATAATAAACAAATAATATCAAATTCATTTTTGGCAAGGACATTCCAAGTTTTGTAATCTTCTTCAGACCAAACAGAAATCTGCACATGCCAACTGTAAGGTTAATAATTTACAGACAGTGTCTGTAAAGAGTATATAAACAAATGCTTTCCTTTCACTCTTCCTAGCATTTTCTGAGTAATTCAGCCCACATAATAATCTGCAGCCATGAAGTGGGTAACATTAATTTCATTTATTTTCCTCTTTAGTTTTGCTACATCCAGGAATCTGAAAAGAGTTGCTCGAGAGTCAGGTAAGAAAGGACTAATTAATTGTGTGTGCAATCTTTGTTATATTAATTTGATGACTTCAATGCAATTTCATAAACATTTTTTGAGAGCTTGATCCAAAGTCAGCTAAAGAGAGCAGAAAAATTTGATTCACTTGAAAAAAAACTGAACAAAAAAATCTGGAAGGGAAAAGTAGATCGCTCCAGGCAATTACTTAACTAGGCAAGTAAGTTTGGTGACATGTGCTTTTGCAGCATCGAAATATTGCATGAAGAGGTGCTGATCATTCAGAATCTGTTACTTTGAGCATGGAGCCAGCAGATGCACTGTGCTTCTGGAAGTGCTCTCTTTTGAACGATACTTCAGAAGTGAGTTCCTTGCCCATTAAAGGCATCAGTAGGTCAGAAATCCAAAAATCTAAATATCAGTCTGGGCTGTAACAATGGCTAGCCAAAAACTTCCCATTGGGTCATTTTTCCGTGCGTTGTGAAACTTGAGCTCTTACTCAAACAAATATTTCTGCAGGATGTCCTAGAATTTTTCTCATGGAAATTTTTGATTTTTGTTTAAATATGAAAACGCCCCAAATTTAACAAAACTGAATTTTCAGGAGCTGGTCTGGAAATATCAGTGAACAAGAGCAATAAAAATGTGAATTGCAATTTTCAGCACTGTATCTGTTATTGTCAAAGGAGGTCTACTGACCTCAGTTCAGGCAGAGGAGTTATTCTTCACGTTTTCTAAAAGCCGTTGAATGATACTTCTGCAACAAAGTGACCCCCATCTAGTTCAATTGGGAATGTGGCCACCTGCCTCAGTTTCTGCTTGGAAAGCTTTGGGGGAGTCTTCTGACCAAGCATGTGGTATAACTACCACCTGTTTTATTATCATCAGAACCAAGTGAAGGGTTTTTTTTTCTGCTTTCCTGCTCGTGAAGAACACGCATGATATGCATTCAGTGAAAAAATAACGTGAATTTGCCAAGTTAATAATTCCGTGTTTGAAAAATGACTCTACTAATACATATGCCGTCTAACTGCAGCTGCATTGCTGTAGTTATAATGTAGACATCATACTGTTGGTTATGCAAAATACATGTTTGCTAACTCTTAACAATCAGCTGCAGCGGTCATTTTGAATATTTGAATTACGAATATGCTTACAGAGGTAAATATTATATTAGAATCATACCAATCACATGCTTGGGTTCCCTCAAAAAGAGGAGCATGTGCAGGAGTTAAGTATCTGCAGACGAATGGAAAATCTGAGTCAGCAGAGAGTTCAGGGTGGCCTGAGGAAAGCTTTAGATTAAAGTCCCCTGAAAAGCAGTAAAGAGTTTCCAAGATGATATATCATACAAAGGTGGGAATTTTACAAGTGCTGAGCATTAGCTCGGTCTGTTCCAAAATAGTATTACTCCCTTAAGCGCAAGATCTGGGTAAATGCTGAACACCTCTGAAAAATTTGGCCCAAGCTGCCCAGAACGTATTCCTTAAGGGGTCTAGCAAGCAAATGTGACAATAAGCATCATTGTTCTTTCCTTTTTTCCTAGAGCACAAGAGTGAGATTGCCCATCGGTACAATGATTTGAAAGAAGAGACATTTAAAGCAGTGTAAGTGAACGCTCAACTTAAATTTTCTGCTTGTTTCATCTTTCTGATATTGGACAAAAAAGGAAAATTAAAAAACACTGTATGAGCTAGCAAGGAAAATATGTGCCTCACTGAACCATAGCATAAAGTTAGCCTTCTTACTATTAGAATACATTTTGTAAGCCTAGAGATACTTTAAGACCTGCAAAAGTCATGATGACCTTCTTGGTCCCTGGGAACGCAACCCTCTGCAAAGTTGATGCGAAAACCTGTGTTCCTTATGCGAAAATAAAATAGGCGTGAGTAATGCAGTTTTGATAACCTCTGGATGAAAAGAAGTCATTCAGGGTTGAGACATTACCAAAAAAACTGAACAAATTCCAAACAAAACCTATGATAGGCTGCCTGAGAGAATTCAATTATTTGCTTTTGAAAACGGTTTGGGGAATGGCAGAGGGCCCTGACAGGAACATAACTACTTCTGAAAGAAGGCGGCCTGATGTTTTTATGTAGCAATGGCTAATACAGCTTGAGTTTGTGGCACTTTTGAATGAACTAGGTAGAAGGCGTAGAAAACTCAAATCACGGTCTTTCCTGTGTTGCTTCTAGTGTGTTATGACTTTTGTTCTTGGGAAGTAAAGGTTAAAAACATTCTTCAGAAAAGAGTTGAGAACATGAAGGAAACGGAACCCAGTACTATGATCTTCATGCTACTCTGTTTAAAGCTTTTGTGCATATTGTTTGAACAAACAGTTCTGAATTCAGACGCATCTTTGGAAATGATAACAGTTGTTTTGCTTACCTGCACATTCCAAAACGTTCTTTGTGTTTCAGCGCCATGATCACATTTGCCCAGTATCTCCAGAGATGCTCTTACGAGGGGCTGTCTAAGATGGTGAAGGATGTTACTGATCTGGCACAGAAGTGTGTGGGCCATGAGGATGATCCTGAGTGCACAAAGTCACTGGTATGCAGTGAATCCTTTGGTATCGTGTTTCTCCTTTTTTTAGGCAGCTACCAAAATCATGGTATTGAGGATTTATATCTGATCCTTTCAGACTCTCAGCTTTTGATATTGTCAACTGTCAATGGCCAGATTTTAGTGCTGAAACAAAGAACTTGTTTCTGTCAGGTTCTGAAATTGTGCCTCCCAAAAGCACCTAAATCATCTGTGGAGCCATACACTGGAGCCTAGAAACCACACTTCGGCATGTTAAGTTTAGCGTTGCCTAAAAGTAAACGTTACCTTTTAGTAGAAATACCCCAGATGCAAAATACAGGTCTAATTCTAGATGTTAACTCTGAAAATCAGGTATCAAAAAATGTCTACAGGTACTCCAAATGCCTGGATGTCTAGCATGTTCAGCCAGGCCTCTAAGAAAATTAGGTGATTGTGTTCTTGCCAAATGACATGATTACAATCATTCTCCCTAAAGGTTTCCCAAGCTGTTTGTCAACTAGCATATCAAATCCTGCTTCCATAACTCATCTGAAAATTCACTTTAGTCAAAATACAAGTGAAAGGAGACCACTGTATGGTACAAAGTATTTTAGAATTATAATTAAAAATTAGAACTTTTTTTCTTGATAAAGCATTTTAACACTGTTGATAACTGGACCACAAAGTAGAACTTTATGAAATTGTTTTGAAAGAAATGGATTATTCTGATTCATGGTCTAAATCCTATCTGATAAAAATTCACTTTTTTAATTTGCATTTTCTTTCACAGATAAATAGAACGTACATTACACTTTCCATAAACAGTCATAGTTCTGACTCTCATCCATTTTTCCCTTCTAGCCCACCATTTTCCTAGATGAAATCTGCAAGGTAGAAAAACTCCGTGACTCATATGGTGCAATGGCTGACTGCTGTGGCAAAGCTGATCCTGAAAGAAACGAGTGTTTCTTGTCATTTAAAGTTCACCAGCCAGATTTTGTTCAGCCATACCAAAGACCAGCTGCTGATGTGATATGCAAGGAATACCAGGACAACAGAGTGTCATTTCTGGGACAGTAAGAAAGCCATTCATTTTGTACTTGTTAAATATTTAGTTATTAAACATAGCAATATTCCCCAAGGTGTACAGAGTATGCAGACATACAGAACATGCATACACTGCATGCTTTGCAAAAGCATGCAATCTCCTATCTGCATGGATAAAACAGCTAGTCAATCATTAAATATCCAGAACTGTGATCATATTTTTTCATTTCATGCTACAGTAGTTTTTTTCCACTCAAAACTCAGTTAAAAAAAAAAAACAACACATTTTTATAGGTAAAGCTTAGGAATTTTTTTTTCCCTAAAAACACTCTAGAACTGTGGGATTTAAAAAAAAAAAAAACAAAAACTAGAAAACCACAGTGTTTCCATGATTGGTTTAATAATTTACTTGCTCCAGCTTCTGCCCCGCCTTCCCCATTGTCATTGGAAAGGATGCAAAAAAAAGATAACAGCAAAGAGAAGGTAATTTGGCAATAAAATATTGAGAAAATGGACTTTGATTAATTTTTCACACTCAAAATCAAAGTTTTCAAATATTTGACAATGCATTTAAAAAAACATATAAATCAAACTAAGTAGCTGAAGATATAGGGAGTTCTGTCACTTACTAAGTTCTGCTTTGGAAACACTAAGATATAGCTCAGCATTTACCATTAGTAGGCAGTATGTTGGTAAACTAGGTTAAATTTCTAAATTAGGAATAAAATTTATTGAAACCATATAGAGATTTGATGCCATTTGTTGTTGTTGGAGTATACTACTTACGTTTTCCTTTCTCTTATAGTTTCATCTATTCTGTTGCAAGAAGAAACCCTTTCCTGTATGCCCCTACTATCCTTGGTCTGGCTGCTGATTATGAACATGCACTTCAAGACTGTTGCAAAGAGGGTGATACTGGTCCTTGCTTGGATGAAAAGGTAGATCAGATTTTTCATGCTAGGTAAAAACAAAGCATTCTGGTCTGCTACGTAAAGGTTTCTTCTAATCTTAGCAGCAATTCTCTTTCAGTTTAAAAGCAATTTTGAAAGGCCAGTGTCAAATCACAGCTTATAATTCCAAAACAAATTGTGGTTTCCCATGGTGGTTTTCAGGAACAATTTGCAGAAACTAAGATGGTCAAAAAATTCACACTTTAATTTTTTTAAGTGAAAAAGGAAAGTACCAAAGCCAACGTGTTATTAGAAAGCTTGTCTTTTTGCTAATATAGTATCAGGCAGTTGCGAGTACTGCGTGCGTGTGCTGAATGCACATGACATGTAGCACTTGGGATTGTACATGTTGGCCTAGACTGTAGTGAGATCTCACTTTGCAGCCTGCCATGCTTTCTCCAGAGGTCTCTCCTATTCTTCTCCTATTCCTTGCCCAAGCGAATGGAAGAGAAAAAGCAACAAATGGGTAGAACCTGTCTCTTCATGCAAATCTTTGCGTTAAGAACTTGCATAGAAGAGTCAGGATTAATCATGTGTTAGCCACATGGCTCAATGTCAAATAACTTCCACACACCTTTGCTTTTTAGGGAACTGTAGCCAAGATTTCTTATTAACCTTCCAGATGGCAAGAGCCAAATTCTTCCTTTGTCTCATACTCAGTCCCAGTGACTTCCACGCAGTCACTGTGATGCTCTGAAAGACAGCTTATGCTCCTTTGAGGCCATAGAGTTTCAATGAAATTAATGTTCAGTGAGCAGTGGAGGACGGGTAGATGAATTGTACCATGCCATAAGGTGTGTAGACTAGAAGCTAGATGTTGAACAGTGAACTGGTCAGGGCTGCCTCAGAAATTCTCTGCTTACCTTTTCACAGTTAACTGAACAATAATCTGTTGCGTTTCTGAAGTAGAATTTTCAGATTTCTTTTTCTCTTGGTTCATTAAATGTAATCGATTTAATGTGACAATGTGCATCCTATTACCATAGGCAGCTGCCATAAAAGAAAAAGCCAAGAAAATAAGCGTGAAGCAGCAATATTCTTGTGGAATCCTCCATAAGTTTGGAGAGAGAATTTTCCAAGCAGAGTAAGTTCATCTCACTGTTTTATAAAAAGCAAGCTGATTATATTAAACTTGAAACTACTCAAGAGAAAAATAGCAGCATATATATAATTGAATTCTATTTGCAGAGCTTGAACACTGTACTCACGATACTTCCTAGCGTGCTTTTGCCTGAGAGCCATTTTCCAAAAATATAGAAATTAGTGGGTAAACCTTGCCAACCTAGGGTGTGCCTGCAGTAATTTCTCAGCTTAGCTATTTTTATTTAAACATGGAATTTAATCCTGACGAGGTTTCTGTGTAAAGACAGTAGGCAAAGGGAAACATGTCTATTTCAGGTTGATAGTGAATACTAGTAAAAAAAAAAAAAAAAGTTTCATTTCTTTTAACTTGCATGGCTATATGTAGATAGTTTTAGAAGGTATGGGGTGTTTGAAAGGGTGTGTCGCTCAGAACAAGACATTCCAGTCAGTTTGATCTACGTTTTGGCCAAAGTCGCACCCTATCCTGTGCCTGTAGCTTTTAGTGACAGGCATATTAGTAAACAGCCAAAGTAAGATACGGTTAGCTTCGACTTTAAGATTTAATTAGGACTATGGGTGTCTGTGCTAGCTAATCTAGAGATCCTTCCCAGATAGGGGATTCTAGAGCATGATTTATCTCATTCTAAAGTAGTTATCGCAGATACACAATCACAAACTTGTCTCTTTCTGTCTACCGTAAAGGAGGATTGGGTGACTGGGCAAGGTGTAGATATATGCTTTCTAGCCAGCTGAAGTTAATTGAGAAGAATGGAAGACTATTTCCTTCAAACATTGCTAATTTAGAGTATTGTAAGTGTTAATGACTTGCAAGTTTTCTGTTCAACATTGAGGTTTAAAGCAATTGTATTTTTCTTCTTTTCCTTTTCTTTTTAGTAAACTTGCTTTTCTTAGCCAAAAATATCCCGGGGCTCCATTCTCAGAACTTCATAAACTTATAGGCGATATTAAGGGTATCTACAAAGAGTGCTGTGAGGGGGACATGCTGGAGTGCATGGATGACAGGGTAAGCTAAATATTTTTAAAAGATATTTACATATTTGAAAAGTGTTAGGAAGACAATAATTTCTACAGCTGTTCTTTCACAGTATTCAATACTGCTGGCTAGTTCCTCAGCCACTAAAAAACCCACAGTCAGCTTAACTGACTGCTACTGGAATTTGGTTTTCGACCAGTTCCGAGTTGAGCCCCTTATAATAATGATGAAAATGAGTTATTACTTACACTGTAGTCTGTTTCTTTGCTTGAAATTAAAACATTCGTTAGGGAGGTTATTTGATGGTATTTATTCACTCCAAGTCAACAAGCACGTAAACAAAGCAAAAGGAAGCAGAGGCAAAAAGGCCAGAATTTTTCTCCAGTCCTGCTGGGTGTACTACTATTATTCCAGCTTTCCTGTAGTGCCAGTGAAACCTGGAGGGCAGCTCCCATAGGAAGACTTGCAAACTGCAACAGTAACTTTATTTAAGTATTGTCTGGCCCCGGGACCTAAACATAGTTCTCAAACCTGTAAACAGTTGGAGTCCTGGGATGGCTTTACGACACTATTGCATCCTCTGTCAGAGGTGGGCATGTGCTGGGACTATAAGGATGAATCAGGAGTCCTTTATGACAGACCACTCAGTGACTTTCACTGCCTTTCCAGAGTACTCCTCTTCTCAGTGTTTCTAAGATCAGGGAGGGAGCCTCCTTCTCCCCAGACTCCCACCAGCAAACATTATTTCCAACAGGCACAGGAAATGTCAATCTCTCCAATAGTTCTGTGGAGACATCCTGTCTTTAGGAAACAGATAAGTGAATTGGTAACCTGAACAAAAAAGCGAAGAGTCTGAGAAAGAGAGGGGAGTTGAAATGATCTAATTTTAAGTTTTTATTTCATAACTTGTCTAATAATGTTTTAATTTTACAGGCTCAGCTTATGAGCTATATATGCTCTAAACATGATGTTTTCTCAAGTAAAATCAAAGGCTGCTGTGAGAAACCAATTGTGGAACAAAGCGAGTGTATTATGGAAGCAGATTTTGATGACAAACCTGAAGGTCTCCCTTCACTAGTTGAAAGATACATACACGACAAGGAAGTGTGTAAACACTTTGAGGCTGACCATTCCTTATTCATGGCAGAGTAAGTAATGCCAACAATGCGTGTGCTTGGGTTTAAACACAGAGAAGTGATGAGCACTGCATAAATTCATCTTCCATGACTAAAATATAAGGTCCAGACCTTCTGCTCTTTTAAATTATCTACTCTCTTTTCTGAACTATGGCCTAAGGGGCCTCTTGGGTGTTTCGACTGCATATGGAGAAAAGAGATGACCAAACAGAAGTCCAAGGTGACTGATGTAAATTCAGCTCTAGTTTCTCATTCATGGTTTGTGACTGTTCCTGCTCAACACTGTCCTACTTATGGAACCTGAGTTTATCAGTGCCTTTCTTTGATTCAGGGGCTTTGCACATGTCCATGTGCAACATCTCCATTCTATTCTGGCAAGTGTTTTGTTCCTCTTGACTTCACTCCACGGCAGATAATAGAATGACCAAAGCATACTACCAAAAAAAACCAAACAACCAAACAAACAAAAACAAAACAAACCCCCACAACCCACAAACTGATTGTCCACCTTACTTAGTTCCCTCTGAGTAACTGTCACTGTCAGTTACTGTGCTGCACATGAGGAATGTAGCATGTTATTCAGGAGCTCTAATGCTGTCAGCTTGTATGTCTTTCAGGTTTCTTTATGAATACTCGAGAAGACACCCCGAGTTCTCCAGTCAGCTGCTTCTGAGAGTTGCTAAGGGCTATGAAGATCTCCTGGAGAAGTGCTGCTGA